TCATGAAGATTGCAATTGTTCTTTGCACTTAAACCCTGACCCAAAAGGTGTGCCTTTTCCTGTGGTAATATGATCAGCCTGGTAGTTTCCCGGCAATTTTCCTGCTGTATAAATAAACAGATAATAGAAATTACCATAATGAAATCAACACTGCTAAAAGCAGACAAAGTACCAAGTCCACACAGTTTGCAATCGTATTAGAAGCCATGGAGTGAAAAAAAATTAGTACGCGTTTTGGGGCCCTGTTACAAAAGAGAGACTCCGCTGACTTTTGCTGGTTTAGAGCAAACAAACCTTTTTTAAATATTTAGAGAAGATTGAGTCTGCTTCCTGAAAAGCTGAAGCCAAAGTCTGAGCTGATTTGGTTTGAAATGAGGCCATCAACTCTTAAGCAGTTTTATTCATGGCAGGTAGGAATTCGATTCCTTCTATTTCAGAGTTATGTACAGTTTCCTGTTTTCTTACAGTGTAAGAAATAATATTATATATGATCATGCTTCTTCATCTGTTGAAAGAAATATGTATACCATTCATGCTATAGAAACACTTGAGTATCTGATGGCTGCCAATTTTCTTAGGACTGTTGCAAAAGAGTTGTCTTTCTGATTTCATGGCTCAAAACTAGGAGCAAATGTAGATAAAGAGGGGATTTTGTTGCTTTTTCAAGGTATGGCTTTTTTTTATTTTCTGTAATAAGTATCTGAGTTAGTTTGGAGAAGTCAAGGACGTAGTTATGTACCATGAATCTGACCAAGCTTCCACTGAACTTTCAGCTGCAACTGATTGACTTCAAGGGGGAAACGTGAGGCTTGTGTTGCTTAGCAGGACTGAAAAATGACTGCTGAACAAGCGCAGGGATTTACTTGAAGGAAAAGTGCATACCTTTCCTAACTACTTCTCTTTTGGCTTAAAGAGGACACTGACAGAGGAGAAATAGTTGTTTCACACAAGGGCTGGGTGTTTCATGGGTTCCCCCCCAAGCAATGTTGCTAACATCTTGTTGATAACTGTGAGTTACCAGCACTGTTTGTGATGTTACTAGGAGCTTTGCAATACTTTGCTTTTTTCCCTTTTTTTTTTCTTAAAGCTCCAGTTCCTGCGGTTACATTATATATGTAAAAACCAAAGTCAATCTAACTCTGTTACAATGGGGAAAAAAAATTTAAAATTTTAGCTGACTGCATCTTGAAGACAAATTATAAAGAACTCAAAATACTGTCAAATGTGAAATCACTTGGGGTTTAGCCTCATATTGTTGTTTGTATGCCTCAGGATGGATTGTATTTCAGTGGTTTAAAATGATATCTGAGAAGGAGAGCAGGAAAACAATTAACATTCAAAGGCAGACTGGATTTCTAGAGTGATGTATTAATACTAATAAATCCCCTTTTGCATTGATATGACGTGCACGTATCTGAACCGGTTCCTCTTGTCTGTCTGTCAGATGAAGGCAATATGACCTCCTTACCTCCAGGCCCCCAGTTTTTTCTTTGAACCCAAGCATCTCATCTTTCAAGGCATTGTTAAGACTATTTTAAGATACTTTCTTTGGCCAAGGAGCCAGAGGGATTAGATGCAGGCCAGAACATCCTATAAAGCCAGGGATGAATGCACCCAGGAAACATAATTTACCTGAAAACGCATAGTTCTTCTGTGTTTATCATATTCTCTGATAGTAGCAGGTAACGTAAAGGGGAAAACCCATGTTTTACCAGCTCTTGAGGCTTTAAGTCAAAGGGATTTAATTTTCTTGTGATGTTCTGCATTTTCTGAGATGAAAATGCAAATGTCTCTGCCTGACAGTAGCAGAGAGCTGCGGAGGCACCAGGCATATTTTCTATTTGCCGTCTAAATCTCATGCTACCAAACCTAGGCAATTCTTCCTGGTGAAACTCCTAAGCGGTGCAAAATCTAGCCTTGAACCAGGGAATGATGCTGTTTTCAGATGAGACAGGCAACATTGCCTTTCTTATTTCAGCCTTAACTAAAATGCTCACCCCCAATTCACAGCTAACACAATTAGCATCAACTCTAAAGGGGCAATTAGTTGAGCCAGAATGGGGAAAATAATTTGGAAACTGGGAGCAGTCTGTTGGAGTTCAGCAGCAGGCGATTGCAGTGGTTAACTTGAAGCAGCTGCCTCACTTTCCCGGCAGACATTGCCACCCTTGAGGTGCCGACATCGGATCCCTTCCTGAACTATAAGATATTTTTGGAATGATTGGGATGGGGCAGGACCTCTGAGCTTTCAGTCTGGTGTTAAGGTAAATGGAAATTGTTTGGGTTTGCGAGATGCTCAGTGGTTTCTGCTTTGTGAATGGTACCTCTTCTCCAAGAGCTGCTCATAACTCAGGCAGCTGCACAGGTTTCATTTGCCATTACCATATAGCTCTGCTTGAGCCCGCACCTAAACTACGTATTTTAAATCAGCTAGACTGATTGAAGTGTATCTTATGTCCCTTTCATCTGAAGAACTATAGCAAACTTTTTTTTCCAGCCAAATATTTCTTTTTAATGTGGGTAAATGTATTGTAAACTGAAGGTGTTCAAAGCACAATTTCATGTGTTTCTTCTCTACCTCTAAATCAGTATTCAGGACTCTGCCGAGGGCAAAGGACTGTGGGGCACTAAGTAAGAACTTGTCTCCACTGCTTTTAGAAACAGTTTTTTACCTTAGAGTTGCTCACAAGTTGGGGTGAAAAAAGGATGATTCAGAGGAATCGAAGAGAAGGTGCTTACTAAACATCTCTTTATTCTGTCAGCCTAAATTGAGTTTTGCTGGTGAACCTGTAATGAAGAAGAAAAAAACCAACTTGTTTTTTACAGTATGTTTCATCACATGATAATTTTGTGAATATTAGTTACTTGTAGAAACATGCTAGATAGGGTTTGAGATATTTTTAATAGTAAAGATGCTGCCAGAGATGAGTGGATCAAGTACACACTTCAGAGCTGGCCAGAAACTGGAGTTTCTGTTCCCTAAGACAATCTAGAATTTGAAATTTCCATTATTTGGAATTAGGACACAGAGCTGAATTTCTGAATATCTTTGACTTGGGATCAGAGAATTGTTTTGTTCCAGAAGGACAAAAAAATCATTTTTAACTGTGTATGTATATATTTAGTACCTAAATGTAGCTTTAGTAAAGACATTGTACTGAAATGTTTTCACGTAAGTCAAATTGTGTGATTTTCAATTGCTTGTTTCAAGACCAGTTAAAATCAGTAATTCCTGAAAATATTTCACCTTTAACACAGTTTTCTTTTTCAGAAAAGTGTTCCAGCTGAAGTCAGGTATGGTTTTAATTGGTTTCATTGATAAATAAAAAACAAACGCAGATGCTTTACTCTTTGTAGTGCTACTCTTTAGAAGAGCCATTTCCCCAAATGTTTTCAAAATAGCCCTTTTAAAAAGTTTTTTATTTTCGCCAATCTTGGATATTAAGACTATGATACAAAATAGTGCTACAACAGTATTTTGAGTTTCGCTTCCTTGGCAGAAGACTTTCTTTTTCCAAAGCTGGTTCTTAACTCTGAAGTGGGGTTAAGAACTGGATGGTGCGAGCAGAGCTGAGAATTCATCTTTGTGGGGAAGTTATGACAGGAAGACAAGCCAAGATGCTAATGATGTCCTGCAGGGTGGCTTTCTGGACCACTGTCTTTGTGGCAGGGTTGTCAGGGATGTACCTCTGCTTTTGGAAGTAAAAAAAATCTGCATTTGTCCTGCCAGACAGGCAGAGTATCTGTCATCTATTCCCTCAGGTTTTCGTGATGTGACAGAGAGATGCTGAGATCTTGACCCTATGTGCTAACCTCTGCATAAAAGTAAATTTGGTGACTTTTTCCAACAAGTCCAAGAAATTCTGATTAAATGTAAAACAATTATTTTAAGGCTTGCCTGTGCAGTGAAGTCACTGCATAGCCAGGGAGGCTGTGAATTGCTGACACATCAACTATATTATATAAATTCCCTGCATGACCATTCTTTAGGTGTCTCTGTTCAGAGGTGTCTTCAGAAATGGACTGCACTACTGTGGGCTTAGGGAACTAGAGATCCCGCTCACCAAGTTAGCACAGTGCTGAGAATTTGCTGTGGGCAATCCCAGAGAAAAATATTCAGGTTTGGCTCAAGGCATTTCTAGTGGTGGTACCTGTCATGGGCATGGCTGTCTAAATTAGATGTTCCTGTAGTTGCCAAGAGGATTTAAGGGGAACCGAGTTTGCCAAAGAGAGTATCTTTCTTTGTTTTTTCTTTTTTTTCTTCACTTTCTGGCACTAATTGCTGGTTTAATTTTGTTTATTTGGTTTTTTTTTAGTAAAGCTTGCTGATGGTAAACAGGCATGTTTAAAAAAGTATAAATATTGTACTCACTCTTTTGTTTCACCCCTCTTGAAACTAGGAATGAATGTTCTTATGCCTTAAGTGAATGAAAGACCTTTGGTGTAGGAACCTTATCTAATGATATAATGCAGACCCGTTTTCAGCATTAGAAGGGACCGCATTTGATCCAAGAAATCCCTGGTAATTTCATAGAAGAAGGAAATGGAATAGCATTGCCCTTTGTAGGAGCTGTGATTAAGCACATGGCCACAAAGATACTAATGCCTGCCTGGCTGAGTTAATTACGGGCTGTCTTGCTGCACCCAGGTCATGTTTGACTAGCTTGTGAAAGGCAGCCTTGGCTGAGCTCCCTGCAGCACCGTGTGCACAGATTAGCAGTGCCGACCGCCGTTCGGTAAGCGCAAGGGATGCCAATTGGTGGGAAACGTTTAAACCAGCAGGAAGAGCAGGTAGCCGAGTGCAGTGAGCAGTGTACACAAGGTTCACAGGTTGCAACTGGGATTTCGTGATGAATGCCTAATGAGCATGTTGATTAGGCGGGCAGAACTCTTCAAGCCGTTGTCAATGTAGCTGAAAGAATTGTGGCTGATAAGACACCGAATAACAGCTCTCGTAAAGCTTTCCTTCGGCGTTGCAGTATTTAAAGCCCAGAAAGATAATGGAGAGAAAACTGGACAATAAAATGAAAAGGGAACTGTCCTGCTTAGCGACTTTAAACAACAAAAACATAACCCTGGTGTCTATTCGTAAGCGGCAGGCAGCTCATGATGTGCCTGAACTACTGATTATTGGTGAAAAGTCCACAACAGGATCTCCAGTAAAAGTAAGCAGTAACTTGCAGAAAGAAGAAAAGATTTTGCAGAATTACTCCATAGGAATGCCAGAAGTCAATACAGTTGAAAGACAGGTCAGTGAGCTCGTGTGTGTGTTGGGAGGGAAGAGGTGTTTCTGAATGGGAGAATTTAAAACAAAGCATATCGGACGCGGGTTGTATATTAAAGGAGGTTAAACCTTCTTTATCTAAATTGTCTCAATCCCCAGCATGGATGCCTGTCCCATAACAAGTAGTACACAAATGCAAAGTCTTCTGAAGATCCTTTGGAAGCAGATGTTCATGATGAGTTATGCTGTAGTAGCTAATGAGCATTTTTTCAGCTCCACCTCTAATAATATAGAGTGATGATTCTTAGTAAGGAAACATCTTAGTATTTCTCCTTTTGAACTGCAATTGCTTGAGTAGTTTGACAGCAGCTCATACCCGGTTATTCTCTGGAATAATAGAAGTTGCAGAAACATTAAAAGATCCTAATTGTAGGTAAGTAGTTTATTTATAACTACTAAGTGGATGCTAGTGACAGTTCTTGATAATACATCTGTGGCAATGTTGTTATTTTTTTTAATTCAGTGTTGTATATAACTGTGGTATTTTTGGAGATTAGCTGTTGTGGAGAAGAGGCTTAGAAAGATCAATGCTGATAAAAACATGAGGTTTATTATTTTTAAAAGAGTTTTTGCTGTTTAAAAGGTATGTAAATTACAGTAATGTAGTTTGGATCAGTGAATATTGTGAATATTTAAGGAAAAGAAACTCTCAGAACAAATTTTGTGTCTTTTGAAACTGCATATGCTTAGAATGGCTTAAATAATTAGTGTCAGACTGGAATGGAATAACAGCCAGGACAGACCAAATATACCTGAAGGCTCTTTCTGCCTTGAGTTACTTCTTATATCATAAATGTTTGCTAGAAAACAATCATGACATAAATTCCTTTGTTCTACCAAGGGATCTCTTTTCTGTATTCAGTTCACTGGGATATACGCGTTGCTTGTACTGGAGCCTTGAAGAACATCACAAAGTGTTTTGCTTTGTTTTAATTCTAAGTTAGAAACAATCCATTTACAACAAGGCTTTCCCCTTTCCCACTAAAGCAAGCGTGGTTTACATAGCTCCTTTTAATTTAAAAGTACCTGTTAAGGACTCTAAGATTTGTTAACTACGGTGTAGGTATCATTTCAGTAAGACTAGCTGCAACCGCCTAAATCTTTCCCTTTTGTCTGTACTGTTAGAGAAACCTGTTCCAAGATGGGGAATAGCAGTCCCTTGGCAGAAGCATTAGGACAACTAACTTAGAATTTCGCAAACAAAAGCACCGTAAAGGCTGCTTTAAAGTAATATTTTCATTGAATCTTGATAGCCAGGTGAAGAGGGTGTTTTTTCCCTCGTTTAAGACTCAGGAACTGTTTGGAAAATAACAAGTTGTGTTACAAGTAGTTACTGAAAATAGTAGCTACTGACATTTGTTAATCTCTGCTAAGCTTGGGGGAAGAGGGAAGGAAGAGCCATCAGTTAAGATAAGATCTAATACATTTAAACAATATGTGCTAACAAGATGGATGGCAAGTTGCACTGAAATTTGTTAAAGAGGACAAGGGTTGAATTTCTGCCCACTCAGAAGTGCTGCTGTTATAGGCATGAGTTTGAAGACTTGGGACCTTTGATGTTCCTGAGTCTGCTCTGTCCTCATTTTGTTGTTCACTGGCTTCCTATAACAAACTGGGAAAGCATCTGAAGCACGTAGTTAATAGTATGTGGCTTTTCAATTGTGTGTTACTGCCTGCCTGAATCCAAAGACGTGAATCAGCAGGTTGTGAAAGAATAAAGCAGGAAAGGTAAAACAGTGACACAGATAAGATAATTCTTTGGAATTTGTGTGCTTGAAGGCGAGAGGGCGATAGCTGGTTTCAGCCTGCGGAGGTACAGAGAGAAGAGCGGCCCAAAACCTCTGGAGATGTTGCATGGGCTGGGCCCCATGTCCTTGCCAAGTGACTGCCTGGCATCACGGTGAGGAGCCTGGTGCTTGAATTTCAGGACGTGAAAACTGGCATCCTTGCAGGCCGGGCAAAGGAAGGTGGGAGAGCAGTGACAGCCCTGCGGGGAGAGCCTTGCTGGAGCACCAGAGAGGAGCAGCGCCCGTGTGGGATCTCGGTGCAGGTGATGCTCGGGGAGCTGTGGGGTGCATTCAGCACAGCCTCAGCCTTGTGCTGCATATGCCAAGAGTGTTACACTGGTGTTTTGAAGGTGGCTGCACCTCTCAGGAAGGGGAGGTGAGAGGCAGAGGGATGGCTTTCCTGGTGACAAGGCAACCCATGAGGTGACCATGGAGCACAGGGGTAGAGGCAGCATGGGGACCCAGCCAGGGATGGCTGGTGCCTGGGGCATGAAGCCAAGGAGGGCACAAACCTTGTTGAGTTCGCAGCCATGGGGTTGCGTCTGTTGTCAGGACACTGATCACCATGTGTGTGTATGTGAGGTTCTCATCCGATGCTGTGGTTTCTTCTTCTTTGTGTTTTTTTTTTCTCAGTTCAGTTTTTCTCACATTTGTTCTGTATCCCCTCACTGCTGTGTTAAACTCTTAGCCTTTGCACTTCTGAATAGGAGTACCCAAAAGAAATAGCTCATTTTGGGGGACAGCGGGGCAGCCCTCGATGGGGTGGTTTTGCCCCACCAGCCACGCAGGCCATGGACAATGACCACCTTTCCCACCAGACCTGTCGCCGAGCTCTGGATGCCGTAACAACAAGAGCTGCTTGCCAAGCTGGGGCTTGAGACTTGGTGCTCCCAATCCAACAGTGTCTCCTTGCCCTGCTCCACCTCCACGCTTTCCCCAAGAGTTAGTCCAGCCCCAGGGAATATTCCTGTTGGATCACCTCCTTCCTGCTGGCTGGAGGCAGTCAGGATGGGGAGCAGGAGCCTCTGCCTCTTCCTGCTGTCCCCAAGCCCTGCTTTACCCCAGGGCAGGCATGAGTGCTCCCTGGGACATCAAGGGATGTTCTTCATGCCAGTGGGTTTGCTCTGAAATCCTCGTACTGGGAGCTGGGTTTCAGATGCCACGCTCATGCACATCAACATTTTCAGTGGCTACTCATCTCGAGTCCAGTTCAGAGCTGTCTCCTGTAGATGCAAATGTTTTCCAGCCAGCTCTGGTGCCTCCTTTAAAGCTCTCTCCACCTACTGCTGTGCTTCTATGTCAATGGGTTTCTTCTTAATTTTCTTCTATTTTTTTTTCTGTGTTGTTTAAATGAGCTTCATAACATTGCTTTCTGTAGGGATTCTTTCAGACTAGAGCCTTGCTCTGCTGTGCATTTTCAGTTGCAACTTTTACGTGCAGAACAAGGGAGGGAAAGAATTTTCATAATTTCATGTTTTCATTATTTACATGTTTTTTACGTAGTCACTGTAAAAATATGGGCAAGACTGGTAGACCAAACAGACATGGTGTACACCTGCCCTTAAAAGTAAGCAGGCCTCTTTTGGTGTGAGAGACAAAATAGTTGGTAACTGCAACCGGTTCTTTCACGCTCCCGTATGGATGTAGAGTCAGGTGCGTTTTCATTATTTCATTGGGATTTCTCTCTAGGCAGAAACAAGCAGGAGGGGCAATGCCTGGAGATCCCAGGCACATTTTTTGACATTTTTGGAGGTGATTGCTTTTCTGATCCTCTTGCAGATGGTGTCTCTGAATTACTATACAGCCTCATAGATGCTGTTTTATGTGTGGGTGTTAGCTGGTATCAGGAAACCGTCTTCTGAGACCTAGCGTGTGCCTGAGGAAAACTACAGGCACATTTCTGCATGCCTCGTCTTTGTGTCCTTACATGAACCTGCTGTCTTCCTCTGATCGAGTGTAGAAATACCCCTTCTTGCAAACAGGCACATAGATGTATTTGTGCCCCTTCTTTTTTTTTGAAGCTGTTAAACAATACTAAAGGCTTTGTAAATACTGTATTTGAACCTGTGCACATTTCTGGGTTTTGGGGGGAGATTCTTCAGTGATTTTGCATTTGTGGGGTTTGTTTGTTTTTTTAATAAGGGAAATAAACTTTTTTTATATATATATCCGCATCCCCTCTCTATTTTTTTCCTTGTCATTTAAAAATTTGCATGCAAGGATTTTTCTCCTACAGAGCATAAACATCTGGTTTTGTTACGTAAGAAACAAAATATTTTTGCCAGTTCTTCTGAATGTTGGGATAGCTTTTTATCCAAAATACAAAGCGGTGGCCAAGTTTTGATGTGTCTGTGGCTTACAATGCATTGAAATAGTAGAATCAGTCCTTGCTTTTATGTTTTTCAAAAGACTGGAGGATAAGAAATACCCTTTAATCTTTTTCTGTAATTTGAATTGCTTTTATATCACTGGGTACCTAGGAAAACTGAGACCGTTGGTGAGTGTGGGGGTGGAGGGAACGCGGTGGAGGACGTAAGGCCTGTGATGATTTCTGGGTTTCATCTGCAAGTGGCTGCCAGAAACGTGGTGAAGGGGAGCAGGAGAGCGGAGGATGTTCATCTCGCCCATATCTCACCCTGTGTTTCACCAAAGGATGCAGAAGCCAAATGCCTCTGTCATACAAGCCAAAGTAAACGTACAGGGTGAGCTCCTGTAACTCGCATGTGGATTTTTGATTTACCAGGTGTTTGTGATAAGAAGAGCTGACAACCGTGAGCTTGGGGCGACCATGTCCTTGAGTTGGCGACCGTGTCCTTGGGGGGCTGGGGACAGGAGATAGGGAAGAGGAGAAGAGGGACAATATTCAGACAGGGAAGAGGAGAAGAGGGACAATATTCAAATAACTTTTCTCGAGGTAGACATTACAATAAATGCAAGTTTGAGTTTAAGCAGCATTTGAAATGTGGTGGGTGAGAGAGAGTTTTCATTTTCAGATGGGCTTCTTTTCCATAAGCAAGGACATATTATTATTTTAAACCGTGGGAAGGCACAAATAGGGGGAAATAAGCATGTGATTGTCTTTGTGTGTGTGCTTAAACAGGGAACCACCCTTGCAGAGAGGTCCAATTAACTCTTTATGTTTTGTTTTGAAAGGAGAGGCTGGCTGCACATTTCCATGTATGTTGAGGATTTCAGTAACTTTGGGGAAGGGGAATGCGAGGAGAGGGCTATGTGTCCCGAGTGCTGCCAGGCCTGTGGGAAGGGGAGATAAGAGGGGATGTTGGGGCTAAAATATTCCCATGACTCTTCTTCCCCAGCATCCCTGGAGCATCGCCTTGAGGCCAAGCAGTGACAGAGGGAGCACAGTGGGAGAGCTCGCAGTTAGGATGGTGTGGGGCTGCACCGTAATGCTGGAGAGATGAAGTTGCTCATTCCTCCTCCTGTTCTAATAAATACAGTACAGAGAAGGCTGAAAGTAAATCTCTGATGTTAAATTTTTGCTGTTTTGGTTGTGACCCCAGACCTCATTATTCCCAAGCTGTCTAAGCGTGAAACAAAATCAAGTTAATGAATTTTGAAGACTGCATCAAATGAACTGGATGCAGTCTAGTGTTAATAAGCAGCCTAAATGCTTCTCATCTGCGCTGTGGTACTGAGGAGGGAGTTTTCTTGTCGGTGGTAGGAACAAAATTTGCAGTACTGAGCCTGATCCAGTGGCCCCTTCTCCAGCCCCTCCCTGCAGTATTGCCCAGCATCGGATGCTTTATTGAATGCTGGAGAGCCCATGGCTTCGCAGGCAAGAGAACAGATTTGTTGTAGTAGCTTGCATCTAGATCTTTAGTGGTTAAAGCTGCCTTAAGTCATGGACATGAATTTTGATGTTCTTTCCATGAAATCTGACAATGTGGGAGTTGTCCCTCCCCTTCTCAATCTTGCTTATCACTTGGCACCAGAAATTTCCTTTGGTGATGGAGTCTGTGCTCCAATTACCTGTTCTGTGAGAAGCATTGCTTTTATTACTTTTTTTTTTTAATATTTGACTTTCAATTGAATTGAGTGCATTAAACTGTAGAGTCCCAGTTCTACGGAGCCCATGATCTGACTGAGACAGTCCACTTCTGGCCGATCTACTTCAATACCGGCCATCGCATCCTGAAAATCGATGTTGGATCAAACCAGTGAGTTCTTGTAGCTCAATATATGGTCTTTCTTAGGTGCTTCACAAGGAGGCAGATGAAACTAAGCATATAGTTCTGTGTCTTTTAAAGTCTTTGTCAGATATAGATTTTAACTTAAAAGGTCTGTATATATGCAGACAGCCCAGGCCTTTTTCTGTGCATGCGTGTAGCTCTTCAGATATCGTGCAACTGGTACTCCCCGTGCCAGCTTGCTTCAGGCTCCTGGGAAATTCTTGGTTCTGTTTTCTGGGCAGTTTGGTTTGGTTTGGCTTGAACTCCTGCTGAGCAGTAGCAGGTTGGCCAAATTGAGCCAGCTTCTGACATTTGTGGAGAGACATCGAGCACAGTCTCTGCTGTGACCCTTTGTGTTGGTGACAGTGCGCTCTGAAGAGCAGGGCTCAGGCTGCATGGTGAAAGTGCCCTGTGGTTGCAGAGAGCTCAAGTTATAAATGATTGGATTGAGGTGGGAATATTGAGACAATTTTGCATTTATATCCCTAGTGAGTATTTTTTAAATTGCGGCTCAAGAGAAGTGTGAGAGGCCTGATTCATCATTGTAAGTATAGCTCACTGGTAATAAATTCACAGTGTAAGTTAATGTTGTGAAGCGTTTCAGCAGTATAGACTGACTTGAGAGCACTTCTAGTATGTGCTTGAGAGCACATGCAGAATATTGCTGCTTTTACAGAACTAAAGATACGTGCTTTTTATTTTTCCTCTTGCTCCTTAGCCTTTGTCCAACACTGATTCTCCTCCTGACTGTGAGCTGGAACCTACAATGAAACACAGTTTTGCTTTTGACAACATGGGCTACGAGGAGAGCTTTGAAACTGTGCCCTCTCCATCTTCCCAAGAACGCACCGTAGCAGTCAACGTTGTGGGAATGACTTGCCAATCATGTGTGCAGTCGATAGAAGGGCGAATTTCCAAGGTGAAGGGCATTTTGAGTATTAAAGTCTTCCTTGAACAGAACAATGCTCTAATAAAGTATCTGCAATCGGAAATAAGCCCTGAACAGATTTGCGAGGAAATTCAGGATATGGGCTTTGATGCCAACATAGCAGAAGAGAGGTTGACAACAGCAACTGTAAATTTGTCATGCTTGAGAGAAGCAGTAGTTAAGCTTCAGGTAGAAGGCATGACATGCCAGTCCTGTGTCACCAACATTGAAGGAAAGATTAGGAAACTGCATGGTGTGGCAAAAATCAAGGTGTCACTTGGTAACCAGGAAGCAATTATTGCTTACTATCCTTACATCATTCAGCCTGACGACCTCAAGAGCCATATCAGTAACCTGGGGTATGACTGCACCATTAAAAGTAAATCAGCCCCTTTGAAGCTGGGTGTCCTGGATCTCGAGCGCTTGCGGAATGCAAACCCCAAGGAGACACCAGCGAGTCTTGGGAGTGATGGGGTGGATCCGCTGGTCGCCGAGCTGAGTAGCACAGCTACAGTGGCTGTACGGATAGAAGGCATGCACTGCAAGTCCTGTGTCAGAAACATTGAAGGAAATATATCAGATCTTCCTGGCATACAAAGTATTAAAGTGTCTTTGGAGCATAAATGTGCTGTGGTACAGTATAGCCCAAATCTAATTACCCTGTCAGCTTTGCAGCAAGCTATTGAATCCCTTCCACCCGGAAACTTTAAAGTGTGCCTCCTTAATGATTCAGAAGCAAATAAAGGAGCATCTCCATCATCTGCTTTCCTATGCGATCTCTTCGGAGAGCCACTGCAAGACACAACATGCACAGCTGTTATTAGGATTGATGGCATGACCTGCAATTCTTGTGTACAGTCCATAGAAGGGACCATATCACAGAGACAAGGAGTGCAACGTATAGCAGTTTCTCTAGCTGGCAGAACTGGGACCATACGTTATGATCCAGCTGTCACTAATGGAGAAGAGTTAAGAGCTGCCATAGAAGACATGGGGTTTGATGCCTCTGTGCTGACAGGTAACAGTGTTTTTTCTTCTGTGGGTAGCGTGCCAAGCTGGACCACGCGACACCTGTGTTGAGACTGTTCTGGAGAGAAACTCTTACAATATCACATTAGCATTGTCTTTTCCAAGGGACGGGCCTGATCTGACCTCACTTAGCGAGGGAGGGATATTTCAGCTGTGAAACACCTTATGTCAGCCCTTAATAACTGCACTAGTGAGTGGAAGAGTTGAGTTACATTATGAACCCAAAAGGTTTGGAAGTTGGTACAAGGTCTCTCAAATAGCTGATCCCGTTACCCTCTGAAGTAGGTTTCCTCCTATGCCTACAGGCTGCTATAAGTAGATCTATCAAACCAAATGTTTTCATTTATGTTCCAAAATATTAAAACCCACAAACTTAATGAAATCTCTTTCATTTAAAACCACTTTTAACCTAGCTAATATCTCTTTTTAGTGTCCTAATCCTTTGACCTTTATTTCTTGAGTATTTTTACTAGCCCTACTTTACTAATCTTTACTTTAAGCAAGGTAAGTGGCAAGATGCAGGTGCTCTTTGGTGGGAGCAGGTGCTTTTACACGTCAACTCCAGCACAGTTTGTATATTTTGTACATGTGCTCAGTGTTTAAGAAGTTGCTATGGTGCACAGTCTCCTCTCTAGCAAATTTCAAATGCGGCAATATTTATCTGCTTCAGCTCAAGAGATTTGCTTTGAAATACTGATGTAGTTTACCTGGAATTAATTAGTTTGATCGCAACAGACCACATCCTATTTGCTTTTCTCATGGATCCAATCCCTCTGAATCTGTGGTACTACTACAAATGAGGAGGACCCTGTATGTGGTGTTTAATTATGATTTGTTTGGTTTCTAATTTGTTAGTGGGAGACCTCCTGATTCACCAGTGGAAGAGGGGGGACCCCCTGTGTTTAACGTGTTCAGAAGCAGCTCTTGCTCCTTTACACAAACCTCTGCCTAAGCGAGGCAGTTTGTGAATGCAGCTGGAGCTGTTGGGTGTCTGTTCAGTATCTGGTAAAGAACAAAAATTATTGCAACAGGCCTGTATGCGTGGAGGCCTTCTGGGTGCTGCAAATCCTTCCACTATTTGTTTTGCAGTATTTGCAGTGTAAATATTGTGCCATAAAGAGAAACCTGTTGAGAAACTTGTCCTTTTCCTTGTTTGAGATGAAGTGCTGTGAGTCCTGCACAGATGACAACAAAGACAGAATGGATATGACTGGGCTGTGTTCTCCGTGCTGGATAAGGACCCTCTAGATGCCAATGTATCTTTATCGAGTGGAGGTAGCTGTCAGGTCTAGGCATTGAAATTGGAGGGAATCATTTGCCAGCTGAAAGCAAAAAACTAGTTCTGTAGAGTTAAATGGTCATGTAAGTGGAACTTGTGAGTGTATATTGCTATATGCATAGTAACAATCTGTATAATTTCCATGAAGATACCTAGATTACCATGTCACCTTTCAGACAACTAAGAGACTTTGCATGATTGATAAATGTGACTTGTTTGTAGTTTTGCATCATCCAATTGCACTGTAAATTATATTTGTTCAGTGTATTGTGTGTATTGTGCATTTACTCAAGATACCGCCACCGGAGAACGCAGACACCAGCCTGATGCCAGCAATGCTGCCGTGCCGCCTCAAGCTCCAGAGCCTCCTCGCCAAAGCTGTGCCTCGGGTGCTCTTCCAAACAGTCCTCACCTTGATGGGCCAAACCAGCCCAGCGGAGCGACAGCTGAAAAGTGTTTTTTACAAATCACAGGCATGACCTGTGCGTCTTGTGTATCTACCATTGAACGAAATTTGCAGAAAGAAGACGGTAATAAATTTAAGATTCTTATAATGAGTCTATAAGGGACTATGGGGTGGAAAAGGTATTCTATGCGATTAATGGAAGGGGATATTGTACAACATCTGGAGGTTAACTAGACTTAATGCTCGCTCTTAGTCCTAATGTGACTATATCACTGTTTAACTGTCCTACTGCACTGGTGGACAAACCCAATGGACATACTTGCATTGTAACAGTAAGTTATTGTAATGTGATAAAAATTTCAATTAAGGCTCAAGACAAGAACAGAGAAATATTTCCCCTTTAATTGTCAAGGCCTTAGTGCTTTACAGAGCAATCCATCTCTTCCAGAGCTGTTGAGAGCTCTGACACATTTGTGACGTGAAACTTACCCTTCAGGGCACATTTGCACAAGTAGGTACAAAGAAATGTGTGGCTCCAATACCTAGGTACTTATATTAGCTGAGGCACAGCCAAGTTTGTTAGGTTAGAAGTCTGCAGACTGGAGCTGCCTTTCCTCTGGCCATATAGAAGATGAACTGATGAGTCTCAGCAATGCTTGATTTAATTTGTGTAGGGATGCCTTTGGAGGGTTTTACTTACTGATTGCTGTGCTCCCAGTCTCCCGGTGATGGTCTCACTGCCTTGATTTAAAAACCCAAGAAACCATTAGCACTTCAGAACAGGTTTTTTTGCCTGTGATTTTTATGTTTTGCTTTTCAATTCTAAATGTAGATTTCTGTGGGTTTATTTATTTAAAAAAAGAAGAAAAACAAACAAACAAAGGGAAAAGCAAGAAAAGAAAAAAGCCTAGCATTGTGCTGTGGTGTTTGTTTAGAGCTTTCCAAACCTAGAAAGTCCAGGGTAGCACTTGCAGCAATGAGTGCAAAGATTGCTTCTGAACATCCTTTTTGTCTCATTAGGTCATAGCAAAACTCCCCTGCTTCCATGTGTAACTCTTGCAGTTCCTCCCATTGCTAAAGTGAACCTCAGTGTGGCTGGATCTCAGCAAAAACTTTGCTGTTGTGACTAGGGAACAACACTAGAAGGAGGCAGAGAGAAATCATTAGGCTTATAATATCTCTAAGTTACAGTCACTTGTAATATTTGATTTTTCTTCCCCTCAGAGGAGCTACATTAGCTAATATTTTTCATTATTGCCACTGCAGGAATTGTTTCAGTGTTGGTAGCACTGATGGCAGGTAAAGCAGAGATAAAATACAAGCCAGAATTCATACAACCTCTTGAAATAGCACAACTGATCCAGAATTTGGGTTTTGAAGCTACCGTCATAGAAGATCATGCAGAAACAGAAGGGAATGTGGAGCTTGTTGTAAGTTATGTGAATTTGAAATTATATGTTAGTTTTGCAAAAATCAGGTCTGGAAGAATCATTTTCTTGCAAATGCTTTTTTTTAAGGAGTTGTGGCTTCAGCAGGTCAGTTCTAGCTGGTGACACTATTTTTTCTTAATTGCTGGAAAGACAAAATCAATTTGTCTTAGAAGAACGTGTCCAAAAGCACTGAAATAAAAAGTGATTGTTTTATGCACGGAATAGACTTTTCTTAGCAAGGAGAAATGAAACAGAAATTTTCTGTGAAGGCCCTTCAGTCAACAGTACAGACTCTGAGCAACTGAGAATGTATCGCCAAATATGTGTTGGTAGTGCCTGGGACTTGGTATAGAGGTCTGAGAACTTTGGGTGAAATTAGTAAATTGCTTATACGAAGGACAGATTCTTCAAAAGTCTGTTTTTATTCTCTGACACATATACCTACTGCAAGACAGGTAACAACAGTCTGCAGTTACGCTGATAGATCAGAAAGTGGAAACATGCCTTATCGAAGCTAAAGGAACATTTAAGTAAGCGAGATGAAGTTACACATGCAGAGTTAGACTTTGGCAATGTTAATATAGCTGCTGATAGAACTATATTAGCTATACTATTACAGTTAATACAATGTACAAGTGCTGCTATGCAAATGTATAGCTGTGACTATAACTGCTGGTTGCAGAATTTTATAATAAAAGTGGATAGTTATGTTCTCAGCTTTGTTTCATTTAAGACAGCTCTATAAAATCTTCATGCTGAGGGCATGGGTCATTACCAGCAGAGCTTGCATAGTAATTAGTACCTTTGTGACATCGGGAGGCCTTGTCTCAAATCCATCCACAAATATTGGGTGAATGTGGGGGACTGCTAACTGTACCTAAATTTGTCTTTTCTTTAGATTACAGGAATGACTTGTGCTTCTTGTGTTCACAATATTGAATCCAAACTCATGAGAACAAATGGCATATTCTATGCCTCAGTTGCGCTTGCTACTTGCAAAGCTCACATCCAGTTTGATCCTGAAATTACTGGACCTCGAGATATTATAAAAATAATTGAGGTAGGCTTTAGAAATTTTTTATGTATGAACAATTATGAGGTGAAGTTAAAAAGGAAATAAAGGAGCTGACGTTTGAGAGGTTTCACTGGCTTTTGCAGATGACATAGTTATTGCCGTATGTTTTTATGCTCCTGTGGTGAAGCTGCTGTGCTCCACAGTAGTGCATAGTGTCCCAGGCTGTTACTCTAAAAACACAGCCTAAAAACTGTAAAAAGGAACCTTTTTTATCTATATCTGGTAAAAGTGTCATACAATCATTCTTTGCAGTTCTCTGTGTAGAATAATGTGTCTCTGATTTCCAGTCATTTCAGTAAAGTGTTGATACTTCAGAAAAAATACTACTTTCTCTTGCCAGTGAAAGAGGCTGTAAAAGAAGTTTTGCAACAGCTCTTACCACAAGTATTACACATCTCTGTATACACTGGCATTTATTCCCACAACAATTCAGAGAAGAACTTTTTAAACTGAAAGAGCTTATGATACAGCCACTAAAGGAAAAAAATCCTGACTTACCAGTAACCACACAGATGATAAAATCTGCCATTATCATGGTCCAGGTGTGGACAAAACTTTTTCCTCCTCTGCCCCACCAGAAGGGAGGAGAACTTACTGTAGGAGCTGCATGCAGTGAGTAGTCAGGAGGACAGCAGAGACTGTGCATCTTTCGTGTTCTAGAATATTTACTCAAAAAAAAGCTCCTAGACCACAGAAGTGATGTGGCAGCAGTGATTAACATGTTAACTAGTAGACTGTTCAGGCTGGCAGAGTAGTTCTTGCCACAGGAGCATCTCATGATGCAAGTATGAAGTTTAAATGTATTGTGCTTGCAAGCGTGCTTTGTTTTTTTTGTGGATTTTTGTGAGGAGCGTGGTTCTACTGCAGTAACTCACTGAAGTGTCAGTCAAAACTAGCTTTTTGCTTGTATTTGTTCCTGGGATGCTTTGCCCTGCAGTTTGTTGTTTTACAGGTTTAAACTGATTCTAGCCACTCTGATTTTCAACTCCAGGTGTTATCTACTCAACTGTAGTGTTAAGGAGATGCTCGCAAGGTTGACTAGCCTAGTGGCTTGTACGTTTTTACCTTCCTTTGTGGTATTTCCCATCTCTCATACTTATTCCAGTGGAGATGAAAGGGCATAAATTTCCCTTGAGGAGGAGGGCAGCAGAATTCCAGCTGTCAGTGGGAGCTCACTGTGCCTAAGAAACCTGGGACACTTACTGCATCTATACGCTGTACACTATCATGTATAGGTAGCAGAAATCCTTTGCAGGCCATATTTTGAGTACTGTCTGAAATAACCTCTCATGTTGGCAGGATCTAAAAATAAATGAGAAGTTGGCATTTATTAAATATGTATCAGTGTCCTTTTCTGACATTTCTTCTAAAAGTAGTGTCATTTAAATATGTTATAAGTAATATGGTTAGTTTAATCAAAACTAACTCATCTTCCCTCCCCTTTCAATAAAAAGGAAATTGGCTTTCATGCTTCTGTGGCTAGAAGAGTTCCAAATGCACATAACCTGGATCATAAAAAGGAAATACAGCAGTAAGTATTTCTCTTTCTCTCTCACTAATGAACGTGTATAGATCATCTCTTTTAACTCACGTCCCTCCCCACTCTTCCCAGTTAATTTAGCTTATCCTTATGTAAAGCATATTTAATTTTACAATTTGCCATTTCGTTCAAGTACTTTTATTACTTTCATTAGTTTCAGTTTTTAACTGATAGAAGTCTATACAGTTAAACATGTAGGAAACACTGAAACTGTCCAGAAGTTCTGGATCTTTCCCAAATATCCCAAAGCTGAGTGTTAATACAATACTAATACACCAAGCTCTGCACTGCGAGCACACTGCTTGGCCTGGGTACTGTGGGGACAACGACAACCAGGGATTTACAGCTTCTACTTTTCAGGTGGAGGAAATCTTTCTTGTGCAGCCTACTGTTTGGTATCCCTGTCTTAATCCTAATGATCTATATGCTAATACCCGACGGTGAGCACCATGGGTCAATGGTGCTGGAAAAGAACCTCATCCCTGGATTATCTATTTTAAATCTTCTCTTCTTTGTCCTGTGCACTTTTGTTCAGGTATGTCCACAGTACTTCCTAGGGGTTTGCTTTCTATTCATCTACCATTTCTGTAAGTTGATGCGATAAACACAGAAGACTGGAAAGGTTTAGTGGGTTAGATCTGCCCTCTTCTCTGTACCACCTACACAGAATGAAGTGGCACTTTTCTGCAAGTTATCCATTCTGTAATTGCTCACAGCACTTACTCCTGCCAAAGTTAGATCCGATAGTTTTCCAAGTGGGGAAGGTAGTGTTAAAATGAAGAAATACCTGATCAGCTACAAACTAATTGGGTAGCTATAGGTAAATCCCGTCAACTCCTGTGCCTTGTTTACTTTGCATTGCTGAGGAAAAGAATGATATTTAGCTGGCAGAGTTGTTTTGAGAACAGGGAAGGGCAAGTGAGAAGATGACAATGGAGTCAGCCTCCTAGTAGATCACTCCGCTGAAGTTATATCAATATAAAATTAGCATGGGACAGCAGTGCCTTCCCTTATCTACTATGTGTTTATAATTCTGCTATAGGCAGTATTATGTACTCTCTACTTTCACTGCTGTGATCTTAATACAAGTTTGTGCGTGCTTACACCAACAGTTTCTTGGTGGATGGTATTTTTACGTACAAGCTTACAAATCACTGAAGCACAAGACGGCCAATATGGATGTGCTCATCGTACTGGCCACGACGATTGCTTATGTGTATTCGTGTGTGATCCTGATGGTAGCGATAATTGAAAAGGCAGAGAAAAGCCCTGTCACTTTCTTTGACACTCCTCCAATGCTGTTCGTGTTCATTGCCCTTGGGAGATGGCTGGAACACATAGCAAAGGTAACTCATCTTCACACTAATTATTGTGTATTTATGATGAGAGTAGAATAAAACTAGTCAGAGGAATTTTGAGTCAGATGTTTCTGATGTAGCCTATATTAGGCTACAAGGTCGTTTAGAGTTCACTGTGTTAAGTAAACATCAGCATTTATATATCTCAATATATCTTAAACATTCATATCTGTTCCTTAGAGTAAGACCTCAGAAGCTCTTGCGAAACTTATATCTCTTCAAGCCACAGAAGCCACTGTGGTGACTCTTGGACCTGACCACTCTATCATCAGGTATATATTTATGAACCAAAACCTCTTCAGCCTGCCTGTGTGCACAGACTAGGCTTGATGCAGTTAATATGAAAGCATTATTATTTGTCTGAAGCTGACGGCATAAATAATCAGTCTGTTCTATTGTGTCTCTTGCAGGGAGGAGCAGGTAGTGGTTGAACTGGTTCAAAGGGGTGATATCGTAAAGGTTGTTCCTGGTGGGAAGTTCCCAGTGGATGGAAAGGTCATTGAAGGCAGTTCTATGGCAGATGAGTCTCTCATTACTGGTAACTTCCCTTATGCTTACACAAAGAAGTGAAATCTTTTAGAACTCTTTCTTACAAGAAATGAGAGTAGACCCAACCCAAAAGCTGCTCTCTGAATAACCTTCCACCTTAATGGATGCTGTGCCTAGCCTTTGTGAGCTTGAATCCAGATCTGATGTCTGCACACACCCTGAAAAGCTGAAGAATTTCCACTTGGTTTGGTCACTTTTACAAATGTACTATAGGATAGGATGGGTAGAGCCTAAACACTATTGTCATTGTTCCAGAGATCTGTTGGGAGTTTCCCCTGGAATGTGTTTGTAGAGATAGTACCTTCTTAGAAATAACTTCTAAAAGGTGATGGAGAAATATTGCTGAGATGTTGGGGTGTGTATGCATGGGCATAGAGCAGAGCTTCTGACTGGGATGTCCCAGTGAGCAAAGAGAGGGAAAGTAAGCCTCACAACTTGATGTTCATTAAGGGTCATAGGACTTTCTCACAGCTTCTAAAATTTTTATTTCATTTTGTAAATATAATAAGGATTTACTGCATCGTCCAATTCTTATAAATAAGGTAAAGGGTATAAAAACTTTACATTGGCGTTGGCTTACTTGTTTTAGTTATGTATTTACTTTGCTTGGGGAACGGGGCCACCCTTAGTTTAAGAGAACCAGTTGTTACCACTAACCCTAAAAATAGAGGAAAATAAAAAATGTGTAGAGCTAGTATTCTTGAAGAATTCTTGTGCAAAGCTTTTGACACCGTCCTGCATGACATCTGTGTCTCTAAATTGGAGAAACATGAATTTGATGGATGGACCACTCAGTGGATAAGGAATTGGCTGGACAGTCGCACTCAAAGAGTTGCAGTCAATGGCTCAATGACCAAGTGGAGACTGGTGACGAGTGGCGTTCCTTGGGGGTTAGGATTGGGACCAGCGCTGTTTCACATCTTTGTCAGGGATGGAGTGCATCCTCAGCAAGTTTGCTGACGACACCAAGCTATGTGGTGTGGTTAACATGCTCGAGGGAAGGGATGCCATCCA